TCACACAACATGCACACACGACCTCAACAGGTCTCATAGTGCCTCGACCGTGATTTCATCGGTCAAACAATCGTGGTCGATACGTGGAGTTGAGTTTCAGCATGGTGCCCGGGTTACGCCAAAAACTTACCCACAATCTCGACACACTCGTGACCTCTTACCGAAAAAATTGTCACGGTAAATGTGCAACCATGCACGCAATATAGCCTCGCTATACTCATACTCACAACACACGATTCTACGATACAAACGTAGCCCCTCATGGCTCCGTTTGCTGACAAAACAAATCTCTATTTTTCCATCTCGAGGAATCCTCGTATATGCATAGGAAACTTATCGGTCACGCTTCCTCATCAACACTATTGATCAAGGATGCAAACACGGTACGGTGGAACTTGGTACTCTCGGTGGTCAAACCGTCCCAAAGAAAAATAAATTGGACGTATGAGTTGTTAATGCACTGTCCTCCGAAAGGTGACACGCTCGCAAGCGCTGCATATGCAGGGCACCAGGATGCTCACGTGAACCTATTCAGAAACCAGCCGCAAGGTCAAGGTTTAGCCGATCACGCTGGCCTGGGAGCTCTATATGTCTGGTGATGGCAGTTGCAGCTTGCGTGTGAGTCAACGATCGGCCGTGCACAAGCCTCTCGTCTATCAACACGGGCGTACACGCTTGACCACCACTTCGTGGCTACACCCAGTCAGGGTCGGTTTTCGGTTCAAGGTTTCAATAAGAAATTTAATCCATGGTTTTTCGCAACATGAAAATTTTTCTGAATTGGGATTTCACATAGGCTTAAACACTAGCAAGAAAAGAATTTTCCACCAAAATGTTTACAAATGGGGTTTATTTTACACAAACTTTTTGGTCTTACACGAATTCCAAAGTTTCAATGTCTCAAAAATAGCAAGGTATAAAACCGAGTTCCAACTCCACTTCACTTTTACAATAACGCACACTCACACGAAAAAGACTCAATGCTGCAGACAAGCAAATATCCTCAAAGGAAACGAATGAGGCTCTCCTGTCGAGAATGGTACTAGGTCAGCGGCTCCTTCGAGACACCAACTAGTTAGCTCACATCGGCTCTTCCGACTAACAACGTTGGCCGTCACGTTAGCTCTTCCTCCAGTAGCTAATCGTGCCAGCAGTCCTGAACGAGCTCTACTCATCTGCATTGTCCAGAGTTTACACTTCAAGGTCTAGGCGAGAGGCTTCTTTCATCGAAATGACATCAATCTCGTCTTCGATTATTTCCGCTACATCTCGGAGTTCTTAGATTATATCGCCGTTGCAGAATTACCACTAGATATTATGTCACCGTCACCATTGCGTTGCGTAACACGAGAAGAATCACTATTTGATTGCAGATATTTTCATCAGTTTCCAGAGTCCGTTTTTATACGTCGATTCCTCGATTTTCTATTAATGATACATCAGGTCTCGGATCGGTCTTCAGAGATTTTTTAGTTGTCTTCAGATGATGGGACAAGTCTTTACCCCGTAATAGTAGTTGATCCTCCTTCTTCATCCATCGGTTAGGTCTATGGTTGTCAATGCGCAACATCTATGTCGAGAAACAGATCGGCTCCTCCTAGGTACATCCAGATGATTGGTGCGCCTCGAAATGGTCCAAATCGTCCTCGACAAAGATAAAGATAATTTGGTTTGGATGATGGGGATATCCAAACACAACTGGAAAGATGTTATAAGCAAACAAAAAGCCAGAAACACTTGTCTTAATTGGTACATCAAGTCTTAAACTTGATCTCGAAACTCAAGCGAACAAGAAACAAAAGCGAGGGTTTCCAAATGTGTTACAAAAGTGCAAGAAAGGGAAAGGTTTTTCCAGAAAAACCCAACGAAATAAAAGAACGGGAGATTATCAAAGATTACCATGATACGACTAATCCAAAGATAAGGGCAGCTCCAATATTCTTAATCCAGGCTCCACTACCCCCCTTAGAAGATTCTTCATAATCTTTTAAGGTACAACACCTTCTTCGCAATCATTAATGACTCCAGTTCAGGGAAAACCATTTTCGGTGCAATATACGAGTCGATCACGACCTGATAAATGACCATCATTGGCCTCCAGGATAAGATACCTTAGAGGGTTGCGACGACATTCGCAATTTTCTATTACACGGACTTGAAGTTATCGCAAACAACAACATCAACCTTGCAACAAATAAGGTCTAGCAGAAAACAGAGTGCTTACCCTTATTTGTATACAAAGCCTCTAAACAAAGTTAGTTCCACACATAAAACCCAAAATTGCACAACTGATTAAAAGATAATACACAAGAATGGAAAATTAATAACTAACACACAATCTCGATTTCTCGGTCACTCGTCCACTCCTTGCTCAGTTCATCCTTGAGATTGGCGTTAGTAACACTCCATCGATCAACAGAGCTCTTTGGCATCTGTTGACAACTCGTTCAAAGTTTTTAAATCATAATCATCATACTCCAATGATTGGATTTCACCGCTGCTACTCCGGTCCACTTGTCAGCTGCCCCAAACGTTTGCGTAATTCCGCACATTCAAAATTTCTCGAGTTGTCTAATCTCAATATGGCATCCTGACGTTGGTCACCAGGAAAGCTATGGTGCATATATGCAATTTCAACTATCAACGAGATAGCCCGCTCAAAATGCTAACTTTAAACTTATGAAAAAAGATCTCTAGGGTCATAACTAGTTCCCAAATGCGCATAGACTTCACCAATAAACACTAGGATTCAAAACATAATGAGGTGGATATTCCTAAGCCCCATATATTAAAAAAAACAACAAAACTCATACCTTGAGCTGGCGTGGCTGGACGAAGCGAGTGGTCAATGGTCATTATACACTAATAGAGATAGTCTATAGAAACGCAGACTAGCTCTGATACCATAATGTAACGACCCGTTATTTTAATAGGCAAATACCGAATAATTTTTTTAAAGATCAGAGTTAAATTTTCGAAAATCAAATTAAAAATCTATTTAACGGGCGCTACTCCAAATACTACAAATCTCAACTTTAATATTACACTTAACAAAACGGGGAAACAACTATCCCGATCATAATTTTTCTCATGTTAACATTCAAGGTACTTCAATCGATATTCAAACATATAAAATAATCTGATAGTCATAACACTATCGAATCCCAATTTCAAATTCCAAAATCAAACACGGTTCAATTTCAGAAAAACAATATTAATCATACTAACAAGAGATAGATACTAGATAAAAGTGGAAGCAAGTAAAACTGTTCATTAGCACATATATATATGACCCGCCTCGCTCGTCCTTCGCCACAACCACCAGCTCAGCCTGAAAAAGAGATATAATAGTGGGGGTGAGCGAACACTTGCTCACCGTGGGAATACCATGCAGTATAATCAATATAAAGACTTGAAATCATAATCGCAGCATGAACACAAATCGACTAGTCTACCCTTCCTAAACACAGCCTACGCTCATGTGATCACACCTAATCCGTCAATACAACAAAGACCGGATTACCTGTCAATACAATAAAGACATGAGCAAACTGTCAATACAACAAAGACAGGAGCAAACCGTCGATACACCATTGCGGAGTCAGCTCTCTAAAGGCTAGAGTTAGGCCTCATAGACTATCCGTTCACATGCATACATTGATTATCAAGCCAAGCATTTATAGAAATTAACATACATGGTAAGTTTTATCAACACCCACCTGGTTACCGAAGCGATAAGATACAACAACACGAGTAGGCAGCGAGCTCGGCTCGTTAAACACCTACATTTATTAAAATAGTCCTACAAATGACTATTCAACACATGACCAACTAATCTTAACAATCACTTAGTCCAACTAAGCTTATATAAACATTTAATCAAGAAATTACCATTTCTGAAAACACCACATACATTTTTCAAAACTTAACCCGGGCAACGTTATTAAAATCGACATAACTATCAGCACAAAATTCATATGGACATGATTTAAATTTCAAATTAAGCCTAAGGCATTCACCTACAAATTTTATTTAGAACACATAAGTATATAAGGTTATTAAGATGATTTAAAATCAGTTAATAATCAATGTCAGATTTCTGTCCAAGTACATAACTCTATCTCATGCATGTCTACCTTCATAAGAACAAAACTCAAGCCAAATTGAAATTTATCTCATTTGAAAGATAAGAAACAGGCCTATAACTTTTATGATGAGCATATGTTCATACGAGCATATTATGATATGATAAACAGGCCAAACATTAGAGAATCACATACTGCCGGGTATTAGAAAAATTGCTTGCGCGAGAATTTTGTAAAAATCATAACTTATTCGTTTCAAATCGGAATTACAAAATTCTAAAGCCCAGATATAGACAACCGAACAAACTACATTTCATAAGAAGAAAGCAACTTCAAATAACTGGTTTCGGATGGATTAAACTGAGGTACAACAGAAATAACGAACACACGATTTCACATGAAATAACAATGAACACATATAACAAATGTTCTAAGCTCGACTACGATGAATTTGACTTGTGAATAGAAAATAAACGAGCACAATATGGTTTATTACAGCAACTACTTGATACTCGATTTAACGGAGTCACGTACATAACCCAATAAACGAAACGACATATAAAAGCCGACGGATAATTCGAAAGAAAACCGACTTCAAACACAAATTCGATAGCACGTATGATATATATATCTATCATATGATATATGCTGACGACTGTAATAACGAGGGGATTCGAATAAGTTACCCGACTTGGGGAAAACTACGAGTTATCGAACGAAAAATAGGCCCGACAATGGGTCGATGAACGACTTTGAGCTCGGAACCTTCGACTACGGGCCTGAGAGCTGCTGGTTCTCAAATGATGATGGCGTGTGAGACTCGGTTGCTGATCGCCGGAAGAAAGTGGTGCTGGTCTGGTTGTTCGCGATCTATCATCAGCGAACAGAGTTGCCGGAATTTATGATGGACCTCAGCTATGGCGGCGTCGGCCCGCTGCTAGTCCGCCGGCGATGGAGGGGAAGCTGGTGAGGCCGCGTCGGGTTGTGGCTGGTGGTTCGCGGCGGTAGCTTGGGCGTGGTTACCGGCTGGACATGGCGGAGGTGGTCTTCACGTGCGGCGATGGCAGAAGAATCGTCGGTGGCTCGTGAGTGGTCTTCGGTGTCGCCGGTGGAAATCGTGAGCGGGGATGACGTGGGGTGAATCTCACGTGCGGCGATGGCAGAAAATTTGCAAAGGCGGCAGCTGTGCGATAAGTAGCTCCGGGGTTTTCCGGCGAGAAAGATTGGAGAAGGGTGTTGTTTGTGAGGAGAGAAAATGTGGGGAGATAAAAGGGGAAAGAATCTGATATATTTTGATTTTTAACGTGTGAGAGAGAGGGATCAATTGTTTGCATTTTAATTAGCAAAGTTAAAAACATAACTCCCCAATAAATCTGATTTATGGGGATAAATAAGGGAAAAAGAGTTACATTTGAGGGATTGCAAAATTTTGAAGTCAAATTTAAATCCTTGCCCATGCATGAAATGGAAGAATCGGGTAGGGGGAACCCGTTTGGGGTCATGCGGCGCGGGTTGGCGGGAGAGAGAGATATTAAGGGGAAGAAGATAATTAAAGGCTGATTAATAGCAATTAATCTAATTAAGTGGTCAAAGGCTTAATTTGAATTAATGGCTAATGATGAGGAGATAAAAGATGGCAATAATTCTTGAAATTTCAAACATCATGCGAGATTGTATGAAAAAATAAACCAACGGTTGGTTCGGGCAGTTCGATTGAAAATCCCAGTTATGCTCGACATCGATGATCTAGTTAAATGGATAAATAATTCGGCTCGATTTAATAATAATAGTACACTAAGGCAATTAGGTAATTACTTTCACATAATCAAATATAACACTAAGCGAGCACGAATTAAATAATCTCAGATAAAATAAAATAACTAATATTCTCCAAATAATCCTGAACAAATGGGGCGCTACAAGTACATGTTGATTTACCAGGCTGATGAATTGCTTCATTTGGGTTACACTGATTCTGACTTCAAGTCAGACCGGGATGAAAACAAGTTAACCTTAGGGTTTGTGTTACTTTAGGAGAATGATCAATTGTATGAAGGAGTGTCAAGCAGAAATGCGTGGTAGACTCCACCATAGAATCTGAATATGTAGAAGCCTCAGAGGCAGCGAAAGAAGCGGTTTGGCTCAGGATTTTTCTGCTCGACCTTGATGTGGTATCGAGTTTTCCCGTTATAATTACAGTTTTTTATGATAACAGCGGAGCAATAACAAATTCGAAGGAGCTACGGACTTATAAAGTGAGTAAACACATAGAGCGCGAGTACCACATGATACGAGAAATCATTGGACGAGGAGAAGTCATTGTTGCTAAGATACTGCCAGAGGACGACCTAACAGATTTTTTTACGAAGTGTCTATCAGCGAAAGTCTTTGAGAGAAACATAGAAGGAATGAGAGTCAGACGTTAAAGCGACATAGTAGACTAGTCTTTGATAATGAGATTGAAAGAGAAATGTGGTTAGTGATAGCCATGAGCTTATTAGGCACAAGTGGGAGATTGTTAGTTATGTTGTAAAAACTTGGCTTTGAGATTTAAACAATACCATTTTGATCTAGCAATCGTGTTTTAGTCAAAGTATTTATATTTGCAGTTTATTTATTTATGCAATCATAACTCCTTTATTTTACATTGTAGATAATATGGTTTGTCGTGTCGAACAGAAAGATCATATTATCGGTTCCTTGTAAAATATAAATTAATTGTTTATAGTTTAGACAGACAATGAGACCCATGTTGGAAAAATACTATAGTGTAGTCTTGATTCAGTTGATCTTTAACTGATGGATTACACTAGTACTTTTGATATGTATTGAACGGACCGCGGAAGGATAAAATTATTAAGTAATGCTACATATCCAACTTAGTTTGCAACTAGGTTAACAACACAAGTAAAAAACATACATAAAAATAAAAATAAAAAAATACACAAGTGGATGTTTCCACTTGTGTTGTCAACTTAGTTGTAAACTAGGTTGTCTATGTATCATTTTTCAAATTATAAGGTTTACTGATCGTGGTTATAATTAGACGTTCAGTAATTGATGCGTATTCTTAAGCTGTAAGATAATATAAAATGAGCATATATATATACATTACTTATTTATTTGATTTACCAAGGGTGATTCCTATTCTGTTAGGATGACATACTCGGTATTTTAGTAAGTAAGAGTGTTTATGTAATATCCCATTATTTTATTAGTATAAATCATGTTTTAGTTTCGATATATTAATATTGTCGAGTATTAATTTTCGGAATTAATTATTTTCAGTCGAGATTACCGGAAATTACTTTCGACATACCGTTTACGTTCGGAAAAATTTTGGTAATTAAGCATTATGTTTAATTAAATAATTAAACATAAGTTAGTAATTAATTAACAATTAATCACGTATAATGAAGCAAAAGCCGTACGGATTTTTATAATGTTTTCCCAATTTTCGTAAGTATTTTCCTAAGCATGAAGGAAGTATTTTCCTTCCATTTCAAGCCTCACACGTGTCCTTAGATGGGAGTTTAAGGGGGTGATTAGTCACCATAAATCATCTAATTAATGAGCAAATGTCAAGCTTAAAGGAGGCCACGTCTAGGCATCATCATCATCCAAATTAGTTGCTCCATCCGAATTTATATATATTGAGGTACTTGGGAAATTTTTCCCATCTCATTTTCAGCCTCCATTATGATATTAAGTCACATATTATACCAAGAGCTTAAGAGAGTTAAGAGGAATTCTTGAGCACCGTACGCATAAGCTTATCGCACGCACACATCTACCGCACGACAATAGTTAGCACCGCACGCACCGAGAGCTTCCCTTCGCCGGAGGTGTGGTAAATCGAGGATTGCAAAGGTAACACCAGCTTACCTTTGAATTGATTATGTTAGTGATACTAGGTTATGTTTAGTCGAAATCATGCTCATGTAATGGCTTAAGCCATAAGGCCGTGTGTAGAATTCGTGCCAAGCCATCATGTTACGTTCGCAATTTCTCGAGCAGTTGCTATATTACCAGCCTCTTTGTTCGTTCCATTTTTGTCGTGTTTTCCTTGTTTATTTTGCATTTATTTTTCCCCATTTTAGGTTATTTTCTTTGATTCTTGGTCCATATTGTGTCGTGTCTTGCTTCTTCTTTATTTTGTTCGTTTTTGTTTTTTCTTGTTTCTTTTGCCCCGGTTTTCTGCGTTTTCTTGTTGGTGGTGATGTGCAGGATAGGAAGTTCGATTGGGAAGTTACCACGCGAGGATAATTATCTAGACGGATGAGTTGGGGTCGAGTAGGAGAAGACGGAATCAAATTCTGAGTCCGAATGCATGGATACAAGCCCTGAAACCTCAGCCATGTTACGGAAATCATTCACCGCGGCCCGCGACAGTGTTCCCGCGGCCGCGGTGAACAAACCGCACAAGACGCCCAGTTTTCTTCACCGCGGCCGCGGAGGAGGAAGTCGCGGCCGCGAAGAGGGCTGCTTTTCAAACCCGATGTACAGAGGCCAAAACTCGCGGCCGCGGGACGTGTCGCGGCCGCGGACCGTCCCTTCACCGCGGCCGCGGGATATGTCGCGGCCGCGGAACGCGCGATTGCAGAATTTAAAATAGCAGTTTTTCTTTTATTTGGGAGGATCGTTTTTTGAACACTAGGTTTCGAATTCCCTCAGTTCTTGGTTCGAAAAACTCATACTTTTCTTCAGATTTGATCTTGTGATTCAATCTTGGAGAGAAAAACTCCAAGATTCGACTTGTGGATTTGGTTCGCTCTTGTTTCCGACATTGGATTTGTTAATCGTAAGCTTTTTTTTAGTTTTATTATTGATTGAATGGCTTTGATTATGATGATTGCTGATGTTGAATGCATAATGAGTAACTAAACCCATTAGCTAGGGTTAGGGGAAGATCATTCCGGTTCGATTTTGTTTATATGCATGATAATTGCTCAATCCTCTCGAGTTGTGCTTAGCCTAGGGTTTTGATGTTTGATCACCATCATAATCTAGTTAATCGATTTTATAACTGAAAAGGGAGAAATCGTTCGATCTAGGCTCGTTAGGAGTAAGCTTGTTCGTAATAGTATTGCTTATGTGTTGATTGTCTCAAGAATTACTCGTCTATGTCTATCCTCTTGTTACAAAGAGTTATTGAGGATAGATCTCTAGATGAATAGTTTTGTGAGGCCTTTAACTGAGCTTTTAATTGCTCGTTAACTGCATTGAGAACCGAAATTAATTGACCCTGATACCCTA